ACTGGAGACTCAAGTGAATTAAAGTGGAGAGAGGCACCTAGCCACTGAAAAGCTTGGGGTGGTTTGTATCATGAAATGATTTTACTAATAAGTGTGATGCATCTTCTTAGGTCTGTGCCAAATCCTGGGGAGTGCCACTTAAATAATTAATTGTTGCAGACAGAATCTTAACCTGAACCATTTAAATTTTCTGTTTCTGTATCACCATATGGCTGCTGCTTCTCAGGAACATCAGAAGTTCATGTTCCAAAAGGAACAGTTTTTTAAACTTGTCACTGTGCCCACTGCCATGGGAGTCTAAACTTCCAAGGACATTCTTGATACAAGGCCCAGGCATATCTAATTCAGCTTGTGAGAAAACATGCTTTGGCATGCTTTGATAGTTCTGAGAAGCTTTATATGAAGACTTTGACTTTGGTGAATATCAGGGATCTCCAGAGACAAAAGACAAGAATAATTATTACTATATTTTGAATTCAGGGTTCAGCCCAAATTCCTAGCCATCCTATTTGGAAAGAAAGACCATGATAAGACAAGGTGGAGAAAGCTTAACTTTCTCCATATGGGCCAAGACCTGTTTAGAACCATATATTCTGTCTTATCTTCTAGTGGGATCATGTGATTTATACTGAATAGTCAAGTTAGCTGCTGAGTCTTTCTCAAAGGACAAAAAATTGCATTATGCAGGATTAGATGAACATTTTGGTAGCTTGAATAATGATGGCTGTTGAACCAAGGTTGGTACACTGTGCTCAAGCTGTCTGGTAGTGTGCTTTAGCAAGTTAGGTCAAGAACCACTCAAGGTGCTTCATTGTCCTATGGTACGTAGGGCAGTGTGAACCCTGCCTGTGTATCTTTACAACTTAGAAAACAAATACATTAGAGTTGAAATTACATGTCACTGATGGATTTTGCCAGAAAGAAAAATGCGTAACACGCATACACCATACACATTGGTCAGTGTATCTGTAAGCTCATCAGTTATATAACTATGCTTCGGCTTTTCTAAATGAGTTGACTAGTAAGTCCTGGATTCCTAAATTACCATATATTCTTTAGTTCCCCTGGAATGCAAGAACTGTATTCTCTGCTTTCTATAGAACAAAACTAAAAACCTT